TAATCTGGATCTTAAACCTGCTAATTGCCAACTAATTTAACTAAATGTGTTATATTTTTAATATTTTGTCATGTTTAGATTACGTGTTTCAAAGGCATCTGTGTATTGTGTACATAACAGAGCGCAATACAAATTAAAATTGTAATTTCCAATAGTGACAAGCAATATTTATGTGCTTTACTAAATTTACACAAGCATTACGAGTGGTCAGGAGCAGGAGTAGATTTTGTTAGTAGCTATGAAAAGATCGGAGCTACTAAAATATTGATGAATGTGGACATGCACGTAAATTTCCATCTGCGAACAGTTTACACACAAATTCCTTCTGCTCACGTTTCATGAATGAGACCCATTGTCTTCTTTCAAAATACACTTCTGTTTTCACAGGAAATTTAATGTTACACAGTCTATTTCAAAATAAAGGCACTACGTTAGTACAACACTGCAAATTGACGTTTTTTCCTTCAACAAAAATACGTGGTTAGGTTTAGAAAACAGAACAGTTTGGCTTTGGAATATTGCAGGACGTGAACACCGCTCTCTTGGGTGAAAATCGGTGTTTGTTGGACCCATCACCATCGATTCCACCCGCCCCAGTTGGACTTTCGTTGCCTTAACTTTTGTCCTTGTCCCTCCGCGTTTCCCCTTGATGCCACCGGGCGGCATTAAACTATAACAGCAGCCGGCGATGTATCATGCTAAAAACCTACTCCTGATTGATGAACGCTGCGTAAAACTTGGATTGCATCAACACATTCTCACTCCAACCTCGTCACATGTCCACGTTTGGTCATGGACTTTCCACGTCCACATACGACGTTCAAGGTACCCTGGGTGTGTTGGTTGTTGAGGTTCTGGGACGCCGTTTTTTCCTTCCAACAAAAACACGTGGTTAGGTGTATGAAAAAAAACAGGGTTTGGCTTTAGGATGCGAACACCGCTCTCTTGGCTGAAAATCTGTGTTTGTTGAACCCATCACCCTCACTCCCACCCGCCCCAATTGGACTTACGCTGCCTTAACTTTTGTCCTTGTCCCGTCGTGTTTCCCACCAGCACTGCTGGACACTGTTAACTATAACAGCAAACGGCCGTATATCATGCCGACCTTAAAGGGTGGCTTTTTTTGTTGGTTTTTGACGCCACAAGTCACTGCCCATTCACCAGATTTCGGTGACTTCGGAGTGAGACTAGGCTTGAAATACTTGTAAATTTCCTTCTGCGAACAGTTAACACACAAATTTGAATGTAAACTGACCCACTGATTGTACCTGAAATGTGTAACACCCTTTGTAACCGACAGAAGTATCATACACAAAATTAACTTCAGGCAACATCATGTATCAGAAGTCATAGTACCCGTTATGCAAAATGGCCTCATATTGTTATATTATTTGATTATTTTACATTAACCTGTGAACAGAATTTTGCAGCTGTCAAAGAGGAGCTGATTTGAGCTACTTTTTACGTTGAGCTACTGTTGGGCATTTTATAACAAATCATATTTTAATATTAGATAAAACAACATTACCATTCACATTAAGATAAAAACAATGACTGGTTACTGCATTTTGACTGTACTTAGAAATCCTTTATTAATACATGGATTAATGAAGGATTTTAACTACAGTCAGAGGGCCTCGGATGAATTTTGGACTGCCTGCCTGCACCATGGACTTCATCAATGAGTGAGCTGGCCAGTTGTTGATTTTTATCTTTATGTAAGTATTTGGCCCATCCTCGAAGAACACCAGATTCTTCACATCTAACTACATAGTGCCTCAACTCAGTGCAGCACTCCGTATTTTTTCCTCAACATTTACATTAATTTGAAGTTGTGTTCCTGGCTACCTGGTGAATTTCCTGTGATGCCATTTGCTCTTCATTTGTTCCACTCTTAAGTGAAATATTTGGCTCTTCAGCTGCTAACTGCTCATCTATGTTCGAAGTTAATGAAGGGGCATTTTACACCTTATTAGAAAAATATGATTACATGCAACCTGTGTGTCGTCTTTTCAAATGATCAACTTCCCGTATTTCATTCTAATTTTCTGTTTAACCATGAGTCATGTCAAGTTTGTAAATCATGACGAAAGCTTCACAGGAATTTGTCCAGGTTACTTAAACCATTCTTGGCATCACTGCATGTTGTTTTACAGTATTTGCTGCTTTTCAGGCGACAGAATGAAGAACACCTCTTGTCCTTGTGTCAGCTCTGACTTTAGAGGCAGATTTCTGCCTCCTGTTTACATCATAGTCTTCATCATTGGTCTGGTAGCTAACGGATGGGGACTGAAGTCTTTGCTGCACAACTGGCAGAAGCTAAAAATCATCAATGTTTCTGTTCTCAACCTTGGACTTGCTGATATTTTGTACCTGCTCACTCTCCCGTTTTTGATGGTGTACCACTTTATGGGGGGTAAATGGATCTTTGGAGACGCATTCTGCAAGATAACAAGATTCTGCTTCCACCTGAATCTCTATGGCAGCATCGGATTCCTTACTTGTATAAGTGTGTACAGGTACCTGGCTGTTGTCCATCCAGTTCGTGTGATGGGAGGATTAACTCTGGCTCATTCTGTGGGGATCTCAGCCATGGTTTGGGTCTTGGTGAGCATTCAAAGTCTTCCGGACATTTTCTACCCCAAAACATTTGGAAACAACACTGAGCAATCATGTTTTGATTCCACCAGTGACACCTACGTTGAGAGTTACCTGAACTACACTCTTGGACGGACATTCACTGGCTTTTGTATCCCATTCCTCATCACACTGGGCTGCTATGGACATGTGATTGTTGTTCTCTGCCGCACAAATACCACTGACAAGTTACTGAAACAGAGAAGTCTGAAGTTGTTGTTCATCTTGATTCTTCTCTTCTCTGTTTGTTACATCCCCTATCATGTTTTAAAGAACCTCAGCCTCTGGTCAAGAGTTCTTCTCAAACAGGAGATATGTGCTGAATGGTCCAATGGAGTCTACATTGCTCGACAGATAAGTTGTGGCCTTGTATCTCTGAACAGTGCTCTCAACCCTCTGGTTTACCTCCATGGTCATGAAGATATACCTGCTCAGCTTAGACAGCTGTTTCAACAAGCTTGTCAGAAGTTCAGCCGTCCACCTCCAAAAAACTCCGGCAGCGTGCCCATGGCACAAATCACAGAGGAACTTTAACACAAGACGAACATGTTTAACAGTAACAAATCAACATAAATCTGTATTATTATATTATTATGTTAATATAAGAGTGCTCTGTTTCTTTCATGGTCTGTTGAGTAGAGAAAATTTTGAATTATATGACTTCAAGTTAATTATTGGGGGATTTTAATGCTGCGTGGTCTCTGTAAATTCAAATGTTAAGTGAGTCTTGTATTTATTGCTAAGTGTAGATCATCCCCAGGGATTGATTTTTTTCTGTTTCAAATAGGGTTTCCAGATTTAACAGTTATCTACATTTTTTAATGTTGTATCGAGTGAAAATGGGCATAGAGATGTTTTATTATTTATACATGTAAAAAAACCAAATAAATGATAAAATATCCGTCCACTGTAATGGACAGTGGATCTGAGTGTCACTGGAAAATGAAAAGGGAAATACTGTTCTGAAATGATTTTCTAATGATACATTCGGCTCATAATGCATTTCATTGATTGTGTGCACAGAATATTCATCTGTGGAGGTTTTAACCTGCTGTTTTCTGGAGATACTTAAGAAATTAAGGATATTTTGAGTTGTGATGGCAAATACGATACAAAATATGCAATATAAATGTAAATGTAAATATGCAACATGTGTGATGATACAAAATTCATATATGCAATGTGTCCAAAAGCATCAATTTATTCATTGATGTGAGTCAACTGTTCATGAAAAATAAATGATGTCGTGTTCATGTGTCATTTTTCCCATTCGATGGTTTCTGTGTTAAGATTCTTCGTCCATTGGAATGGACAGAAAAAAAACATGTACTAAAGTATTGTAATAAAAAAAGAAATGCTCATAATTTATGTGTGCATTCAGAGTATAAATCCACCATTAGGCCCTGATCACACAGAAAGCGTTTTGCAGGCTGCAGAGCTGTGTGGGTACATGAGACCCTAAAGAGGAGGGTGGATCATGGGGAGTACCACCAGTTGGTCCAGGAGCTTTTCCTCCGTGATGGACGTTTCCAGGCATATTTTAGGATGACTCAGGGGCAGTTTGACAACCTGCTGTCTATCATTGGGTTGTATAGCTCTGGGCATCCAGCAACCGCTACCACCAGTTTCTCCTCCGTTGTTTACCAACTGTAAACCTGTTGTGACAACTACAGAAGGTCCGCCTCTCAAATCATCCGATTGGACAATGGGAAAAAAAGATGACAAAAAGGGAGATGACGTGGGGTGTGTTTCTGCCTTGAGCTGAAGTTTTTTCAACTCAAAGAGCTCAAAGCGTTTGGCAAAAACCTCAGGCGCCTAGAGCGCAAAGAGCAAAAAGATTCATTCTCATTAAGAACAATTACAAAAAGGTGCCTCCAGCTGCTAAAACGCTCTCTGTGTGATCAGGGGCTTATTGATCACTGGCGCACATTGTATTGTATTGTTTATGTACAAACTGGCAAACTAGCATCATGATGATCTTCAGGTTTCCCTTTTGGAATAACGAATACAGACTACTGCTGTCTGCTGGTGTGGAGAGTTATTTCTTCTCACACAGGCAGAATGCATGTACTGGAACACCATCGGCTGTAGTCTTTACAGTATGTTCATGTGCAACTTTTTTGCCAAGTCACAGACAACGTGAGGCAAAACGACCATCGGTTTCAACGCTGCTAATTCTTTGATGTTGGTTTGGTGTGTCTGGGCCTCTAAGGCCAGAAACCATCGAATGAGGCCAAAGTCTCCAACTTGTGATGTCGTTAAGTATAAAGTCAGGAGCTGGTCCACAGGCAATAAATGGGAGCCCAATTTTGTGGACCCACATAATGTTCTCTTTTTCATACCCATATGAGTTTTATTCTTTTATTGTGTTCTCAATTCTGAAACAGGAAATGTATCCATATACATGTGTATCCTATAGAACAGTGGTTCCCAACTGGTGGGTCACCGTCCAAAAGGGGGTCGTGGGTTCACTCCGTACGGACCACAAGTGACGTGAACGTGTCAAGTTTTAAGTACAGTGTATTTTCAGCATAGAGCTTTTATTTTTAAGTGCTGTTTCCTGTTGTAGAGTGAGTGTAGATGAGTAACAGACAGCTACTTGTAAGAGACAGGAAAGTAGCTTGACAACATGGCTAAACTCAAGTGTGGAGCTGAATATTTTAAACTGTGTGAACCTTGAACTAATGACTAAGGACAAATCTGGACCAGTTGGGAACCAGTGCTGTGGAATATTCCTCTGGGTGCTCTCAGTGACATCTGTAACATATTTCCCAATTCATTATCTATGGAGCAGCTTCAGTTCTTATACCCTATGACATCACAAATTTGAGTTATAGCAGTCTAGTTTTTGGATTGGTTGGTTGTTTATGTTTACTAATATTTTTGGACTGTCTAAGACCATTAGCCTGGAAATCCAGACTCAAATCTAGAAAGATTTTGAGTCTGGCCCTCACCGATACACCCTTCCTACGCAAGGGGCGGCACTAACTGAGGCATATTAAATGCCGCCGCATGCAACTGGATAGCACGATAGCCAATCAGAGCAAAAAACAAGGTGACGTATTCATTGCACTAAGTCCCATTTGTTTGCTGAACAGTGGGGCTAACTGATATATATGCTTTTGCTGTGTCCCGTCAGCAAAATGGTAAAAACTTCCTTCCTGGAAGCGAAGGCTTCTAGGGCAGTCTTCTGTTCCTCTCTCAAGAAAAAAGATAAGTGTAGTTGGCTTAGCGTTTCTTCCAAACCTCCGACTCCTACGGCGCAGTGCTGTCTTCATCATGTTACGCCCTCCCAGAGCCCGCATCTATTAGACAGACTGATCTGATTGGTCCGATTGCCGATTCAGCGGGCTCTGCTCGTCAGGTCCAGATCTCCGTGCGGTGCAAATTCGAATTTGCTGGGGGCGGGGCATCTGGATTTCCAGGTTATTACTGTAGATCAAAGGAATTCTGAAAATGGGCCAATCGCCCCTTTATCCTGTGAGCAGAACTTTACTGTTGCAGCTGTCAAAGAGGAGCTGATTTGAGCATAACAAATCATATTTAATTATTAGATACAACAATAATAGCATTCATTTGGAGTCGTGTCTCCGGGTGAATGTCCTGTAATTTCTTTCCCTCTTTGTTTTGGTTAAGTTAATGAAGGTGCATTTTACACCTTCTGAGAAAAATATGATTACATGCAGCCTGTGTGTCATCTTGTCATATGATCACATTCCTGTCTGAGATCACATTTCAATATTCTGATAAATCGTGGTAAGACTTTAAGAATGACGAAAGTTTTACAGGAACTGGTCTGAGTTACCTCAGCTATTTTAGACACCACACTTGCTTTACAGTATTTGCTGCTTCTCAGGCGACAGAATGAAGAATACAACTGGTTGTGTCAGTTTAGACTTTACAGGCAGATTTCTGCCTCCTGTTTACATCATAGTCTTCATCGTTGGTCTGGTAGCTAACGGATGGGGACTGAAGTCTTTGGTGCACAACTGGTAGAAGCTAAAAATCATCAATGTTTTCATTCTCAACCTTGGACTTGCTGATATTTTGTACCTGCTCACTCTCCCTTTTTTGTTGGTGTACTACTTTATGTTGTGTAAATGGATCTTTGGAGACGCATTCTGCAAGATTACAAGATTCTGCTTCTACCTGAATCTATATGGCAGCATCGGGTTCCTTACTTGTATAAGTGTGTACAGGTACCTGGCTGTTGTCCATCCAGTGAGAGTGATGGGAAGATTAACTCTGACTCGTTCTGTGGGGATCTCAGCCATGGTTTGGGTCTTGGTGAGCGCTCAAAGTGTCCCGGACGTGTTCTACACCAAAACATATGGAAACAGCACTGAGAAATGTGTTGATACCACCACCAACACCTACGTTGAGAGTTACCTGAACTACACTCTTGGATGGACATTCACTGGTTTTTGTATCCCATTCCTCATCACACTGGGCTGCTATGGACATGTGATTGTTGTTCTCTGCCGCACAAATACCACTTACAAGGTACTGAAACAGAGAAGTCTGAAGTTGTTGTTCATCTTGATTCTTCTCTTCTCTGTTTGTTACATCCCCTATCATGTTTTAAAGAACCTCAGCCTCTGGTCAAGAGTTTTGTGTAAACAGAAGATATTTGTCAAATGGTTAAAAGGGGCAGACATTGCTTATCAGATAAGTCGAGGCCTTGTGTGTCTGAACAGTGCTCTCAACCCTCTGGTTTACCTCCTTGGAAATGAAGATATTCCTGCTCAGTTCAGACAGCTGCTCCAACAAGCGCGTCCGAGGTTCAGCCGTTCAGGTCCATCAAACTCCAGCAGTGTACCCATGGCACAAATTGCAGATGGAGGTTTAACACAAGACAAACATGTTTAACAGTAACATAAATTTATATTTATTCTATGCAGTTAGAAAGAAGAATTATGCATTGTTTCTGCATTATCACTTTATTATGATAATGGATTTATTTGAATGTATTCCATTTCTTTCATGCTCTGATGAGTAAATGAAACTTTATATTATCTGACTTCCAGTTAGTCTTAATTCACATGTCAATCCTAGGATCAATTTTATTTTTGTTTCAAAAAGGGTTTTCGGATTGAGTATTTATTCACATTCTTAATAATTACAAAACTCTTACTGTGTTGTTGAGGAAAAGGATTTAATGGTATTTGTTACATTTAAACGCTGTGTCTTAATTCAGGGGCTGCAGCCTCTGCGGTCAACGACAGCCACGTCCTTTGAAGACCGCATCAGTCAGACAGAACGGTCTCTAAAAAAGGGGTGGTCTGGTCTCTGTTCTCACCCTGACCTAATGATGTTCCTGTTACCTAGTGACCAGCTGTTCTTGACAAAAGAAGGAGTAAGCTAGTAAGTTAGTTAGCCCTAAATCATGGACCCAGAGATTGTTATTTTATACATTTTCTTTACTTAATACTTGAGGAGATGATTCACTGCCAGAGACACCGCCGTTTGATATATTTCAGGCTGATGGACCGTTTTAGGTAAACTAGCTAATAGTAATGTAAACAACAGTTAAA